CACAAAAACACTTTCCGAGTTAAAATGAAGCGTTTAACAATTTCCACGAAATGCCAGCTTTTTCTCTATAGTCCAAAAATGCCAACACTCGATGCATGACGTACCCTGAAGCACCTACATATCACACAAAAACAAAACCAAGAAAAAAAGCAGAAAATCAGGACAATGTGACAGTTTCAGACTTTCAGTGCAAAACTCGACGGAAAAAAAAACTCCCCCGGTTAACCACGTGTCGAGTGTGGTAAGGTGGGTCATCTACTGGTACTCGATCTTTTGTTCCCGTATGACTTGATCCTCCGTCTCTGTCCCCTCTCCATTCACTATTGGTATTGCTGGTCTTTTGGTATCCTTGTGCTGATCCGGTGAGATATAATAAATAGTGGAAGTGGCATCGATCACTACCACATGGATTGGGAGTGTCCTGGTTCACCCATCTTCTGTCCTGTTCCATTCATGTGCTGTTCTTGTCCATTCATCTGCTGTCCCAGTCCATGCTTGGGGCTTTTGTGCTGCAACCTCTCATTACTTTTGTCAATCTATGGGATGTCCTAAAGACTCCTAATCCTTCCCAGAGTGCCGTCTGCATTCTCAAGCCTCTGGGCTTTCTAAGACTGCAAGCGGAACACTGCGGCTCCTTCCAGATTGGGGAAGTTCGGTATGGCTCATCTTCCATCAGCATGTCAAAGAACACCTTAATATAGTTTCAATTGCGGTAGGAATTACGGAAAAATAAGAAAACAATTCAAATTTTTATGTTTATTTTTCAATCAAACCCAAATAGTTTTCAAATTTTGGAAGTTTGGACTCATCAAGAGTTTTTCATTGGTAGAAGTTGTGAGCGTGGCAACTAGACTGCCGAAGCTCATGTAAACCCGAAACCCAAAACCCGAAACCCTAAACCCTAAACCCCGGGCCGTAATGTGGGGAAGCGTTGGGTGGGTATGGCAGGGACGTTGGACCCTGATTCTCAGAAGGTGCAGCTGCCCACCAATAGAAAGGAGCATTTCTTTATGAAAAAAAAAAAAAAGACCAGGATGTAGCAGTAGCTGCAGTAGTCTATTCAGAAGCCATGTTGTCCGGTATGCCGTCTTATCACACCACGATTCCCGTAGGAAGAAGGGAAGCTACTGGCTGTTTGGCATGCTGGTCTGGTTCTGTGTGGCCCTACTGTTCATAGGGTATAATTAGGAATATTGCAGATATCCATTGTGCATGAAGAGTTCATGCTATTTCATTCATGGGTCCCCCTTTTCTCCATTAAAAAAAGAAGAAGAAAAGAAAAGAAAAGGAATATTGCAAATATCCGTCGTGCAAAGCGTACGCATCTTGGCTTCATTGATCTCTGGTGAGTTGGAGACCTGTTGGATTCCCAATATTCATCCGATCAGATCGACCGAGTTTGAGTGGTTTGACATTTTGTCGGCGGGTGTGTTTTGCCTGTGACAATTGGCCGCAGCGTGAACCGAATGGTGACGAGGGAGTTGCTTTCGAGAATTGGCTGCACTGTGACCGTCGTTGGGTCGGGAAGAGAGTGCCTGGCGCTTATGGGTCAACCGAACCATGGCTTCCGTGTGCTCCTTCTGGATGTTTGCATGCCGGACATGGATGGCTACGAAGTAGCGACACGAATCAAGGAGAGGTTCCCTCGCCATAAAAGGCCTTTGATGGTGGCTTTGACAGCAAATACTGACAATGGCACTAGGGAGAGATGTCTTGAAGTAGGAATGGATGGAGTGTTATCGAAGCCGATGTCAGTTGACGATATGCGATGCGTCCTCCAAAACCTCCTGGAAACAGGTTTGGTTCCTGAGAATCAGGGAAGCCGTCAGCCGTAGAAGGGGAGGGTTGCCACCCTTCGCCATGAAGGATAGGCTGATGTACAATTTCAATTTGTGGCCAATGGAAGAAGCCTCACAAATCTGGAGAGAATTTCAGCAAGTGCCCAACATACTTGAACCACCGGTACTTGGCCCAGCTACTGGCCGTGGAGAGAAATAGAGTAGAAACGTTTCTACTTGCAATGGATGAATTTGGCCGCTACTGTAGTGGCCCGTACGTTTCCTAAGATCATGGCTTGTTAACGGGCACAACTCTGGGAAGTACTGGTGGTTTAATAGGCAGGCCTTTCTGTCGCTAAGGTTAGTCGATGATAATGTGGTGTGTTCTCCAATGCCTGTCAGAAAGAGGATCATAGGCAGACATTCTGTCACAGCGATTCTTCTGTTGAGAAGCAGGCTGGGGAGTGCGGCTTCTGGACGTTTGCGTGCCGTACCTAGGCGAATATGAAGTGGCAAGGCGGGTCATGGAGCGATCTCCAGCAATTCCCCAACACTCCTCATCAGCAGGCCATTTTCGCAACTGCTAGTTGACGACAATCTGGTGAGTTCTCCGAACCCTGCCCAAGAGAGACTCATAGGCACACATTTCTTTTGCGATGATTCTTCTTTTGGGATGTAAGCAGGAGGATGCTGTTTCTGGATGTTTGCATGCTGTACCTGAATGGATATGGTGTGGCGACTAAGGTTAAGGAGAGTCTCCCTTGCCATAAGAGGACTTCGACGGTGGCTTTTATGGAAAAAAGGACAAAGCCACAAGCGAGAGACCAAATGGATGGCATGTTATCAAAAAGCCAACGTCATTTGATGACCTACATTCTGTCCCTGCAAAACCCATCGGGAACAGATTCGCGGAGGGCGTCAGCTGCACCGCCAAGGGTGGGAAGTTATACAACTGACAATTTGTGCCCAACGGAAGCCTCACAAATGCGGAGAAAACTTGGGCAATTGTCCAACATCTTCATTCGCAGGCCTTTCCGCCAGCAATGTATGTTGATGATTGTGCTTCTCCGATACCTGTCACAAATAGATTCATAGGCAGCTGCATATCTGTTGCCGTAATTCTTCTTCTGATGGGAAGGCGTCTGGGGGGAGTTTCCAGTCCATGGTGTCGTTCTCCCAATCTGGCAAATGGGAGATGGGAGAGAGGGAGGTATGTGAAGCAACTTGGAAAGCAAGTGGCCATTAAAGATGGGGAGGGTCATTAAAGATGGGGAGGATCAGAAAACACACGGGGGTATTAGGGGCGAATGTAGAGACAGGAGGGAGTTTGCGAAATAGAAGGAAGTAACTGTTGCAATTGCATCTGGAGTCTGGACAGTTCTCTTTTTTTTGGTCTTTTCTAAGGTTGGAAACAGGAGGAAGTTGCGACTGCATCTGGAAAGTTTCTCAGATTGGAAGCAGGGGTTGCAGTGGCATCTAGAACTTTCTTTCTAAGACTGGAAAACAGAAGCTGCAGTGGGAATATACAAATTTCCTTTTCGAAGGTCGGAACCAGGAGGATGTTCCAGGCGGGCCTAGCTCAGTCGGTACCACCCACGAACTGCTGAAATACAGATCCAAGTTTGAATCCAGATGCAATAAACAAGGGTGTGTGGGGGGGGGGGAGGAGAGGGGGAAGGGGGGAGGAAAGTAGGAAGTTCCAGCAGCATCTGGATTTTTTTTTTCTAGGGTCGGAAACAGTAAGTTCCAGTGGCATCTGAAGGTTTTGAGAAAGGGGAGTTCTAGTGGCATCGGGAAATTTCGTTCTTTGGTGGGAAACAGGAAATTTTTCTTTCTATGGTTGGAAACAGGAGTTACGGTGGCATCTGGATTTTTTTTGGGGGGGAAGGGTTAAAACTTAAAAGCACTGCAGTGTAAGATCCAGGTCCCAGGAGCATCTGGAAATTTCTTTCTACGGCTGTGAAACGGGAGCGGGAGTTCCAGTGGCATCGCGACTTGCCTTTGTACGGTTGGAAACAAGAATTCCACTGGCGTCCGCCATTCGGGAATGTCTTTTTCTTCTGAGGTTGGCAAGAGTCCCAGTGGCACCTGGGGAATTCCTTTCTAAGGTTGGTACGAGCGGGAGTTCCAATGGCACCTGGGAATTTATTTCCAAGGTTGGAAACAGGGGGGGGGGGGGGGGGTCCAGGGTCATCGGGAATTTTTCTTTTTAATAATCAGTCAGTTGTATGATCTTCTTGTATGGTTGTACCATTGTATCAACGAGCACACAATGAGGTTGATTGCTGGAGAAGCAAATAACAAAATGAGGAGACTGAATATGGGTCTTAGACTGACCTTGTCTTGCGCATGATATGGTACACTGCTACACTGTCTGCTATTCCTAAGGCGAATGCCATCATTGGACAGGAACCTGTGTGTAGCAGGGGTGCCCATGGCATCCCGTGGACTTGTTATCAAAGTCCGGGTCCAAAGGCAGCATTCTCTCTATCTGCGTGTCTCTCTCTCTGCCTCTATCGATCTATCGATCTATCGATCTATCTATCTCTATCTATCGATCTATCTATCTATCGACCTATCTGTCTACCTATTTGTCTACCTATCTGTCCGCCTATCTGTCTGCCTATCTGTCTGCCCATCTGTCTACCTATCTCTCTACCTATCTATCTATCTGTCTATCAGTCTATCTGTCTATCTATGCATCTATCTGTCTGTCTATCTGTCTATCTGTCTATCTATCTATCTACCTACCTATCAATCAATCAATCTACCTATCAATCAATCAATCTATCTATCTATCTATCTACCTATCTAACTCCCGCCCCTGCCCCCGTCCCCCCTCCCCCAGCATGCATTTCAGGAGCAAACTGAAATCAGTGAGGGAACTTGGTAGGAAGGACGAAACCGAAATCAGGCGAGGGAAGACGACCTGGGTAGCGGAGAAGGGAGAGGAACTCTCAAGCAATGGCAGCAAGAAGAGCTACTAAAGACATCACTCATATGCAATCAAAGGGTGGGACATGGCAAAAGAGATCCATAAGATGGGAGGGTGAACATTGCAGTGCATTAACCTGTGTTTGCAGTTCAGCTTTCTACTCACTACCACACTGGTCTTGAAGAACAGGCGGTGATGCTGCATTTTGACACAGACCAAGGAGTGAAGTGATAGAGGAGAAGGGGGGAGAAAGAGCACATAAGCTGTCCTGCAGTGCTCTTTGAATGATCTCCTTTCTGTGCATTATGTCAGGGCAGAAAGCGTGGTACATGAGCATGCAAACTGTCCCACAATAGTTTTTCAACTTGGTCATTTCTGCACCTTGGAGCGCTACAGTGGTGTTCGGAAAGTCTCATTTCTGCACCTCAAACACATAGAGAGGGTATTGTGTCCAAGGAGCTAGAGATCAAGATCAGTCGGACGCTGCATGAGACGCTGCATGAGTCATGCGACTGATTTGTGCAGTCGAGCTTTGTCTTCACGTCCATACAAGGAGAGAGAGAGAGAGAGAGAGAGAGAGAGAGAGAGAGAGAGAGAGAGAGAGAGAGAGAGAGAGAGAGTACGAACTGTCCAAGTATTGTCTGGTTTAAGGGGTGCAGAGAGGGAGAGGAATGTGTCTAAGCAGATGCGAGTGGAAGTTGTATTGATAAAGAAATATTATGCATGGAGGTGTATTGAGAATGATAATTTCAATTATTCAATAATTACATTTTTTTAAACTACGAGTCTTACGAGACGTTGCCGTCATCTCCCTTTCAGAACAGAGGTGTACCGCCGCCGGACTGTGGGTTATCCTTGTTTTTTGTCTGCTTTGGTAAAGATGCCTAACATCCTTTTTTTCAGTGGGTTTGGCAACGCAGCAGTACATGGAGAAAAGGGTTGACAGGCGGTGAGGTGCGGTGTGACCTAGTGAGTGGATGTTCAGTGTTCACAAAGAAGAAACCAAAATTTATGTGCGCACTGTACTTAAGGCCTGCTTGGAGTGCATAACCGTGCTTTGCTCAATTGCATACCATCTTGCTAGCAGTTGTAGAAGATTGTCAATCTGAGTTTCCTTGTTTCCTTTTTTTTTTTTTTTTTTTTTTTTTTTTTCCAGCCTCACATTCGGGCAGATTGCTCGTTCACAAGAAGTGTGCAAGTGCTGGTGCACTTGTGCGCTGAAGTGAGGAGCAGAGCGCTGAGGTCACGTTTCCTTTTCTTTTTTTTTTCCATTATTTATTGAGCAAAAGGAGGCCGGGAATCCCTCCACATCTCAACCCAGAAAACTGGGGTCATTACCCAGATTAGGCTCGTACTGGAAACCGGGTCCAGTGTCCCTTTCTCCTGTCTAGCTACATGCTATTCTTGAACAGAGACAAAAGTAGATGAAGAAAAGAGGAATTTATCATTAAAGGAAAGAACCTACCAACCTGCCCTTAGTACTGCCAATCATCCTCCCCAGTTGCAGTAACGAAAAAAGGGCAGAAATGTAATGGAAGAAGTGGGACCCCGGCGGAGTGTCCCATCCTGCAATTTCCGTAAATCTATGTCTATTTTCCTCTGCCTAACTTTTCCTTCTTGTCTCTCTTTCCGCCTGTCCTCACCGTAAACCCTAAACCCTACTGCTGTTACTCCCGTTCCAACGCCTCATCCTTGCCATGACTCTCTTTTTCCTCTCAGAACTGAAAACCAGTTCCGCCAGATAGTGCTATATTTCCTAGAAAGAGCTCTCCCTCCATTACTATCAACCTGTACATTGCCCGCTGACTCTGTCTTATCTTTAAAACCTAATACCTCTTAACCTCCTCTTTTCTTGATGACTCCTCTAGCAACTAAGCTTGTGACCTCCCAGCACGTGTGTCAGGCTTTGGTCGTCTGGTATATGTGTACATCTTGCAATATCCCTTCTGTGTCGTAACTGTGCCTCAGGCTGTCCCTCCACTGATTTTTGAGCCCTTAAGCTCCTTCCATTAACTGATTCTCAATCCCCCTCCTCCATTTAAAATCGATGTTATTTCCGTGCAAGGTTGCCACCGCTCCTTGCCCTAGTACATTGGTATTGAATTTCTTCCTTGTTTCCTGCTCCTGGCCCGGAATTTTGCAGAATTCGGGTCTTGACCCTCTTCCACTGTGCTCGTAAATCTGTTTCTGAATCAATTAATGACCA